GGGGTTTACAAGCTGATCTCCCATCAAACACAACACCAGCTGCACGCAGTGTGAACATTCCTGGAGGTAGTCCTTGGATGCCGGTGTACATTGTACATGGTTGGAATTTCGACTCTTGGTTACTTCTTGCACTTGCCGCGAGAGCTTGCTTGTGCAAGCGGGACTCGGCCAACCACCTCTCATTTACACCATGAGCAAAAAAGCAGTCACTCGAGACCGAGATTGGCATGGGTGATCAGGCTCACAGCTCTCAATCTCATGGGCCAACAACACTGCGACTCCATCACGTGCATCTGCATTGTCATAGGGCCAAGATCCCAGGCCATGACGACCAGACGATGCTACGACAACGAGGGCTATGCACCTCTTGCCGAACCTTCTCCAGATCCCCGCAACCAGCCAGAATTCACCCTAAACCCTAAACCCTAAACCCTAAACCCTAAACCCTACCCCGCCCTTAAGCCTTGAAAGGGGACTTACCCTGCGAAACGCGCCCCAAACCCCCAAGTGCAAAGCAGCACCTGAGCAACCCCGGTCATGGATCAACTTCCGGGTCCTGCTGCAGGTTCATGTGGGAGTTTCAGAAAATTAGGGTCCCTTATTTTGGGGTCCTTATAATAGGGATCCTATTATTTAGGGTACTATATTAGGGTCCCTTTTGGGGTACCCTAAATAATAGGTGCCGTAATATCATAAGGACCCCAAAAAGGGACCATGATTTTGACAACCACCCATGTAGAAAGAGACTTCTGAGGGTTCGCGGGGGGGAAAGATGGGGGAACCTTAGGGTTTAGGGTTTAGGGTTTAGGGTTTAGGGTTTAGGGTTTAGGGCTTAGGGTTTAGGGGTTTGGGAGGGAGTTTGGGGGTTCAACATCTGGTGGGAGAGAGAAGGCGTGATTCCGAACGTTTGCTCCTTGAATCTCGCATGATGTTCATAGGATTCAGAACCGGCTGACAGAGATTTGCAGCTTGTTGTAAATTTGCTTTAGTTTTAGGGAGATTCCAGTAGTACTCTCATGTAGTCACATCGATGCCTCTGAACCGAATCCGATTTCAAACGGGGCATCTGTCTTCCTGAAAACTGAGCAGGATCATTCCGGCTTCACTGTCCTATTACACATCAGCAAGGAAACTAGAGCTGTAATACGGAAACAATACGGCCATGCTTGGACTGGGATGGCCAGATGCATCGAGTGCCATGATGGGTAGTGTTTCTCTCAGATTCCGTAGTTTTGCAGGTGCCCGCATTGCCCTTTATAGATTCCACAGCACAGCATGGATCAGCTACCACGGCAAAAGGCTCCCTCTTTGCTTGTGTAGAGAACGCCACCCTTTCGACCTAACCCTGACCCACCGTCCTGTTCGTGTGCCGGGACATCCACGGCAGCAGCCTTGGCCAGCAGTCCCCTCCACTGTGCCGATCGCGAAGTTAAGGGGTTTGGGATTTAGAGGCACTGTAGTCCTATCCTGCTGTCTGAGATGCAAGTGGTTCCAAGTGGGTTTCGCAGAGATTCTCGTCGTGAGTCTTGTCCGAAATGCAGGACTTCGCGGGGTAGGGTGCAGCCGCTGAGGTGTGACGGGAGCCGCGGCCCCAGATTCCAGCATCTGTCAGCTGGCAGTGCTGGAAGCGTCACACTGAGTTTGCAACAGCATCGCAACCATTGAGCACAACCCTTTCTTTCCTCTCCTGCGAGCGCACGCTGCTTAATTGATTCGGCATAAATACAGGTACGCAGTGCGACACAGGGATGCCCAGGACTTGCCTCAAGAGCTGCAGGTCCCCGTCATGTCATTGCTGACTCTGTCGCTCTTTTGGTGCTGCCAGTGGTGATGCCAATGATGCTGATGGGGATGGAAACAACAGTGAAAACAACGACAGTCCTGGTGACTGGTGCCCACACTGCCGACTACTCTTCTGATGATGATGATGATGATGGTGATGATGCCCGTGGTCATGATCATGACCATCATGCAGATGAGGCTGATAAACATGATGTTGATGATGGTGCCGATGGCGATTGTAACGACTATGTTGATCCTCCGTGTCATCAGGATCGCCATCAACATCATCACCAACAAATTGAAACCAACACGCATCCATTGATGACCATCTTCGCCATGAGCGTCGGCTTCAACATCCACACTTTGAGCATCGCCGCCAAAGTGACTATCAATACGGTGAGTAGCAAGAGCAGTCGTCGTCGCGATAACGGTCACAGGAGGAGCAGTAGCAGTAAAACAAAAACATGGAGGTGGTGGTAGTAGTAAACTTAAAGTAAACGTGGTGTTGGTAGTGCGGCAGTGGCGCTGGCGGCGGCAGTGGCGGTGGCGGTGGCGGTGGCGGTGGCGGTGGCGGTGGCGGTGGCGGTGGCGGTGGCGGTGGCGGCGGCGGCGGCGGTGGTGGTGGTGGTGGTGCTG